AATAAATACATGATTAAAGAAATGTCTATAGTAGACACAGAAACTTGGGCGACACAACACTGGATTTTTAAACATTCAAAATCGATGGAGGATAACAAAAGTCGTAAAACCAACAAGTGGCTGGAACGTAATTTTCATCAACTACCTATAGAATACGGTGATATCGAGTATGAAGAACTCGGAAGAATATTGAATTCATTAAAGTTCAACAGCATTTACGTCAAAGGTGAACAGAAAAAACAAATTCTTATGGAGTATATACCACACGTCGCACTCATCAACATTGAAGACTTGGGCTGCCCTCGTTTAGATCAAATATGCGATGACGAAACTCTACCTTGTTGTATTTTTCATATGGAATTTAATCCTAAACAATGTACATTTTATAAAGTTTTTGCTATAAGAAAATGGTTTATAAATAATTCTTAAAAATATAACAATAATATTTTAACATTGGCTGTTTTTATTTCACATAGGTAACCTAACATTTTCAATACATGATTATAGATAACAAATTCTTATGGAGTATATACCACACGTCGCACTCATCAACATTGAAGACTTGGGCTGCCCTCGTTTAGATCAAATATGCGATGACGAAACTCTACCTTGTTGTATTTTTCATATGGAATTTAATCCTAAACAATGTACATTTTATAAAGTTTTTGCTATAAGAAAATGGTTTATAAATAATTCTTAAAAATATAACAATAATATTTTAACATTGGCTGTTTTTATTTCACATAGGTAACCTAACATTTTCAATACATGATTATAGATAACAAAAATATACATGATATTTTACAATATAACGAAAATATATGCATTAATCTACCTCAACTATAATTAAATATAATATTTTCAATATATATACATAGTATTTACAATTTAGAAATATATACAGTATTTAATTATTTAGACATGCACCCCCTTAGAAGTAATCTCATTAAATCTTTCTCTTCATCGTTCCAGTTCTGTCCTCCTTCTTCTAATTCAGGCCAATCAACAATCTGCTCGTTATCATCCCTATAAAATTATAAATATAAGTAAAATAATTTGAAAAATATAAAATAATTTAAAAACTTACTCTAAACTATAGTGTCCATGTGCTAGTGTGTGGACTTTATCTTCTAGCACCACTCTTTTGTCATCGTAGCTGTTATATGTTAATTTTTTAGTCTTAATCGTCATGAGTTGATGTTTGAATGACCGTATTAAAACATTCTCCTTGTACGTCTCTAATCCTTCTTCCCCAAACAAACACTTTTTGTGATCGTCGAACGTCATATGATTATCGACGACATGCTTCCTAATCCCCTTCGCTTTGATTTTCTCCTTCCCGGCCAAAATAAATGAGTATGATTTGGCTCTCAACGCACAGAAGTCAGTCATTATAGCACCCTTGGTCTCGTCGGAAAATAGACCTGGGATCTTTTTACGTTCGGCTATATAGCAAGGGTGATCTTTTGGTAAGTCAGATGTATCCATTCGATCTAACAAATTCGAGTTGATGGTTAAGTCTTCATAAAAATCTTTCGTGTTGATATGATACACTAGAGAATCTAAAATAATAATATATACATATATTAATATTACATTTATACAATATACACAATGAATTTTTATATATTTATTTACCTGTATCTGTGTACATTAGTTTAATATTATCACCATAGTGTTTTTTCATAACGTTATAATGATAGTCGTACATCAGTGTTTTACTGATGTCTAATACTGAAAAACCTATAAAAATTAAAAAATATTAAAATAAATGTTTTTGAAAATGTAGAGTTAATATTAATTACCGATATAGATAGGTTTGCAGAATTCAATTATCTTATTTTCTAGTGATACAGCATTCAAATTTTCATTATATGATGTACTATGTTTAAACGTACACTTATTTATAAGCTTTTGTAAACGTCTGTCATTGGATACTAATTCCATTTGTATCCTCTTTCTCATACTCTCCATTGTCTTCCCTTTACGAACAGATAAATGTTTTAAAGTTAATAAAGTTTTAAAGCTATATAAACATATTTTTTTTAAATTTTTTTTTTTATTTTTTTGTTAACATACCAAATACAGCGTTATTCATGAGTTTAAAAAACTCCCTCTCGAAGTCATTCGTAGCGTTCTTTCGCATCTCAGTATTCAAATTGATATATTCGGCTAACCAAGGAGATTGATCGAATTGTACGACTCTATGTACCTATAGTATGATAATAGATAATAGATATGTTACAAATGTTAAATTAATAAAAAAATAAAAATTTACTTTTTCCACTATCAACCCATTTGCTATAGCCTGTTGAAGATTACGGTAGTGTATTATATAGTTTGTCTTCCTCTCGAATGTCGCCATCAGTTTCTTTACCTTCGATCCCGTAGGTATTCCGTTTTGAGGAAGGAATGGTAAGTCATTATGCTCGTCATGTAGGTGTTCAGGATATGACACATCTACCTCGTATATCCGACCTATGGGTGAAGTCTCATCCAAATCATCGAGTCCATCCAACTCTGGCTTGACCCATTTAAAATTTGCATAAGGCATATTTTGCGACATCGCCCAACCGTATAGGTTATTACCTAAAATAATACAAGTACAATATAATATCCTCGAGAAAAAAAAAAAATGTATACTTACAATCCTGATACACCAACCACGAATCTTCCTTCGAATCATCATAATCAGATACCTTATCGTTATTCGCTTTTGCATAACGCATACTTGCCTGCACCAGTCCACCTCGTATACCTATAAAAAAAAAAAAAGTTATGTATTTATTTTAGTAATAATAAAATAAGTTTAATACCAACCATTTTCAAACATTAACATCATATCATAATCTGATAGCAGTTCCAGCTTCATTGAGGTGTATTTAAGCATACAGTCGAATGAAAACCCTGGAGCGGTGTAATAGTATGCAGGATCTAAGTTGTAGGCCTTCATACACACATCACGGAAATTTTCGAAAATGTCAGCCAGTAGCAGCACATCGATTTTCAAATACAAATCTGAATATTCACCAATCGTTTTGCACTCAAAATGTTCCCACACTTTCATCGCGTGCTCGTACTCTTTATCTTCAACCCCCGACTCGGTTAGGATACTATAGAATTCAGCTTTATCCGGTAACGCATTTTCATCAAGCTTACTCCACGCGTCTGTATACTCGTAAGGATATACACCCTTACGGGTTACAAGGTTCATATCATCAGTGGAGAAATGCTTCCCCGTCTCACGGAATTTAGAAAAGTCAGGAGTTAGCAAATTTTTAGCGAGTGTTGAAAGTTTCGAAGCCATAAATCTGCAGGTGTCTATAAATCTGATCGTAAAGGTGTTTGATACGTATTTGGAGAAGGAAATAAACTTCTCCTCGCTGTTGGGTATAACCGTGATCCTCTGCGTATCATATCCTAACTCTGTCACTATGAAATGAGCATCATAGTTTGATAGGTTATGTAGGAAACACGGTACAAATACAGGTGTTTGTAGTTTCTGGTTACACGTATTGCAAAGAGCCTGTCGATATTTTCCAGAAAGGTGACAGTGGTCAGCTGTTTTTCGATGTTGGATCTCATGAGGTGGTGTAAACTTTATACAACATAGGTTACAGTGTGTCGCCGCCTCGTGAACCACTCCGTCATGTGTACTCATATTTATCATTACGTTTGTTTTTAACAATTTCTCTATCTTTAACGATATTTCAGAAACCATTTCCACGAAACGTGCCGCAACATCCCTACGTTCCTCACTACCACGATAAATAATAGGTTTAGTCGGTATGTCGTAATCTTCGAGCAGACTTAATGGAACGTTATTGGAAGCCTTAACGAAAATACCGAAACTCATAGGCTCATGCTTATGAATTATGTCTGTGTTTTTCCCCTTCTTTTCACCATCAGCCTTCAATAGTAGCGCTTCGAAGTCAGCATATATAACGATGGGATGTCGTTCCGTGTTTCTCCACGCATCAAACTCTAGACAATCCCCTTCTGCCGGCATAACTGGTAATATTGGTTTATGTAAGCCACATATCAACTTATGCTGGTCTAACGCAGCCTGTCCACTCAATTGATATTTTCGAGGTATATTGTCAAAACTCGTAAAACATCGTTTACAAAATAATAATTTGCTTTCATATCTAGTTTTTTGAGCGCGAACGAGTCGGGAAAAATTAGATATATATACGTAATGTGTATTATCGTTTTCCGTTACTAATAATAGATCAAAGTGATCTCGCTTTTCATCCTCTACAACTCTGAGTGGGAAAACCTCATATGTTGGAAACTTTTTCGGCGGTTGGAATTGTTTTTCAATACCAAAAATATTGATGGAGACGAATGGATTATTTTTTTCAAATATTTTTATATCAGATAACGGTGTTGGAAATGAGATACAATCGAAATTATATTTCCCCTCGTGCTTGCGATAGTTTTCACCTATACGACATACCGCCGGCCCAGTCACATGTTTCGCCAATATTGCCCACTTGAAGCATTGTTGATCTATATTTTGTGGGTTTATTGTACCTCTTTTTCTGTCGATACTATCTGGTAAGGATATATAAGATGAACCTGACATTGGTGTATATTTATACACCCCTAATAATAATCCATCTATAGCTTCTAGTGTGAATCCACTCCCGCGTGACTTATACTCCTCCTCCTCCTTCAACAACTTTATATACGCCCTCTCAATGATCGTACTAATGTCACTATCTGAGAAAATTTCTACTGCCACTGTCATAAATGCCCGGTTCTCCGACGAATTGAGGACGTTGGGCCGGTTGTACGTAGCCTCAAGCTTTAAATTGAATTTAATCGCCCCTTGTTGAACGCGTGTTTTCAATAAATGTTCAAGCTCAGGCATGAGCGAGCGGAGAAAGTCGGGATAATTTCGGACGTTGTTAATATTTTTGGCATAATACCACACAATTTTTCGATTCGCTGACGAGGAAATTTCAGTGAACCCAGGAGTCTTAACCATGTCCATCCTAATTTTTTTTTGCTCTAGCAGCCGACACGGTGTTGGCAGTCGAAACACGTTTCCCGTTAACGGGAACGGTGTAAGAATCTTTAAAAGAAAAAAAATCCTAATTAATATCTAATGAAAATAAAAAAAAGTGGTATCGAATCTAATCAACCTTAGTTTATAATATAACGATATATGTCTTTGTGTAATTAATCCACGGCGGGTAAATTATTTTAATAATCTAATTAATTCGGGTTTCAAAACTAACCTGTATCTTCGAATTCGTCCATAGCTGCCATGCAAATATCGTCCTCGGACATCATGTTCGAGCCACCAGCAGGAACATCGGGGACAAATATTTGCGGTCCAATCTGAATCTGTGGAACGGGTTGATCAATCTGTGCATTGGGCTGACGATGTGCCGGAACGTTAACAAAACCTTGGGGAAAAATATAAGATATAAATTAAGGTAAAATAAATAATATTATATAAACCGTAAATACATACCATGAACATTTTTCAAATGTTTGGTTAGGCTGGTTTTATAGGTGAATATCGATGGGCAAACAGAGCACGGAAAACGAATACCGGTATGAGTTTTTCCATGTCTGACTAAAGCATCTTTACGTGTAAATTCAGATGAGCACTGTGTACATTGAAACATTTTTAAAATGTTTAAGGTAATGATGATAGAAAAATGAAAACGAAAAGAAAAACACTTGTAAAAATTTTTCAACGTTGGAAATTTTTTAAAGTTGGAACGAGAACGATGAATGTGTCGGGTAGACTAAACCGTTTCAGCTATACTCGGTGATATATATAAGCAGAGGTACGCTAATGCTTCTTGTGGTAGATACTTGAATTATTATGAGAGGTGGCTATTAAGAATTTCGATTCACAATGACTATTAAGAGTCGGCGACATCTTGGCGGCTGGTGATGACCAAGACAATAATTAGGCTATTAGGGTTAATGTATTTTTCATTAATTGGTATCTTCTATTCGATATACTATAGGTATAATGGTCATTTATTGATTATTTTATAATGTTTCCTTGTGTGTGAACAAATATTGAATAGTCTAATGTTATATCGGTCATTACTGACATTTTGAAATTTTAATATCGTTAAGTAAATCGCATTATGGCGACAGTCTGTAGACGGACTATTGATTATTTTATAATGTTTCCTTGTGTGTGAACAAATATTGAATAGTCTAATGTTATATCTAATGGCAGGAAATATACGAGGAAGCACCATTGTGGTCTAATGTTAAGATGGGTGCAATCTATTATTAAGGTGGCTATTAAGACATCCTGGCTATGACAATAAGTAGGCTATTAGGGTTAATGTATTTTTCATTAATTGGTATCTTCTATTCGATATACTATAGGTCATTTATTGATTGTTCGGCGAGCGTGCGAACGGATTTACTAATGACAATACGCGCAGCTGCAATCTATTATTAAATGTTTCTTTTGCAGTTGTATGTACCCGTTAAATATGGCAAGTTCTTAATATAAAGTATATGTGTCGGGGTGGCGCAGTGGTTCGGTGATCGCTTGCCGAAACCGACGGACTCGGGTTCGAAACCCGGTCCGGAAAAAAATTTTTAGCTTATTTTCGGCCGGTGGCGGCGGCGGTGTGATAACGAAAATAATATGATAACAGTGATAAAATATGATAACAGTGATAACAATAATATAACTAACGCTCGACGCGAGCGGTGTGATGAGTGATGAGGATGAGGGGTGAGGGATGAGTGATGAGTGATGAGGATGAGGTGTCAGGATCGGGCGGTGGCGGTGGCGCGCGGTGTGATGAGTGATGAGGATGAGGGGTTGTGGGTTGTGGTTGTGGGTTGTGGGTTGTGGCATCAGAACCGCTATTTTTATACTACTTGTTATTTTTATAATATTGATAGCTGATACAGCAGCGCGGTGCTGCTTTCCTAGTCGTTCACTGACACTCGGTGTTCCGGTGGGAGTGATAATACGATACTTTTTTTTTTCTAATAGTATTGTTAATCTATCTTGTTATTATTGATTATTATTTATTACCGTTATGGGTATTGTTAAATTGAGATAAAATTTCGTTTTGACTTCTTTTTTTTACAGTTGGGTTGTTAAATTGCCCAGTAGCAGTAAATTTAACGAATATTTCAGCATTAATAAGTCGTAAACGGCTTACTCAAATTAAATTCTGTAAACGTTAAAATTTTTTTTTTCAGTATGTTTATAGATTTTCGTTATCGAAAATAGGTATTGCCATTTGAAAATCGAAAGTTGATAGTGTTTTATCAAATAAGGGAGGAAGTTAAAATTTTCAAAATTGTAACACAGTGTAAAATAGTAAAACCTAGAAAGTTTAAAAAAAAAATTATTTTAAAATTACTAATACTTCCCGAGATATTAACTGGTTCATGATAAAAAAATCACCCTGTATAACTGTGTATAGCTTTGGTAGATTTAACTAATACAAAATAATGTGTTAATTATTATTATAGATTTAATATATCTATTTTATGCTGTTTACCTTTTGGATACTTTGAACATGTAAATGCCTATTAGGATTTAAGTTTTTTAGTGATAATTTTTTTTTTTTTTTTAACAAATCAAATATCCTCTTCTCATATAAAATATCATTTGAGCATGTTTATTACAAATCTGGAAATACAATACTCTGAACTAATTTAATATTAAGTATAAACAACTCTTTTTTTGATGTTTGCAATTTCAATTTAATACATTTACAATTTCAAATCAAATATTAGTATAATATAAATAATTCACCATACATAGCTTCAATAGTTGTAATATACTTTGTAGGACTAGGTCTTTTTGACCATCACATGAATTTAATCAATATGTAGGTATTTAAATAACAATGACATACATCCAAATATACATATAGGGCACTGATCAACTTATATAATTATATTTTAAGTAAAAAAAAAAATTATTTCAATGTCGTGAATAGGGTTTGAGACCATTGGCGCAACTAGAGGGTGCAAACGGGTCTTTAGCACCTCTTGTTTTTTTAGATTTAACTATCATTATTAAAGTGAAATACCCCCAATTTAATGTTTTTAAAATAAGAAATATTATAGCACCCCACGTTTTAAATTTTTTAATGTATATTTTTTACTTTAATATGATGCAAGTGATAACCACTAACAAAAACTAGGGAGAGAATAACCATTTTTTAGATTGCTTAATTTTGATTATTTAAATGTTTTTTTAAGCGTTTGATTTGATGATTTTAGGTTCTGTTTAGCCCTGAACCCTGTTCACGGCAAAATTCCTCACATATTATACTGATATTATTATGAACCATTAAACAATTTTACCTTAATAAGCCTAGGACTATGAAAAACCTATTTCAAAATGATGATACAGTTTAATCTAAATGTTCGTTTTGCAGTTAATATGCAAAATATGAGTAAAGATAAAACGTGTATTCAAAAAATTAAAACAAACTTTTCAATCACCCCAGACTTAAAAAGCAAAATTTAAAAATGGTGTTAATAATATTCTAACTTGAATTTAGTACTAATTATTATTTGGTGACAACACCAATCATTGACAGAAATAATTTAGTATTTATCATTATGACATTATACAATGTAGCACAGTAGACTAATGTTTTTGGATGTTTAGATTATTATATCTCGTTTGTTAAAGGGCTTGTCCGTAAAAAAAAAAAAAATGTTAAAATAAAAAATAAAAATAAAATTATTATTTATCACATAGCCAGCTAAAAATTCTTAATTTGATTTAGGACATAATCTACATATTAAACACAAAATAAATATCTATATCTATGTATATTATCTTTTAAGTTGTAATGATTGATGTTGTCACCTAATTTAAATTATTTATAAACTAGCATACAAATTATAAAGCTTTAACATTAGCACAATTTTTAGTTTTCAATACATTATTTTTTTTTTTTTTTCATTCCGAAAATCGGTTAAATGATTACTGATGTCCCTCTCCACTTATATTCCTCTTCAACTTCCAGTATGTTCCTATTCTGGTATCTTCAATCACTTGCTTCAGAAATGGAGTTCTAGGCCTTCCTTTTCCAGGTTTCCTCCTGATTACGTGTCCGATCCATGCTTTTCTTCTCAATCTTAGCGTACTCTGTATTGATTTTTGATTCTCCTGAATACCTCAACATTTTTTTTTATCTTTTCTGTCTATTGAATTTTCAGCGTTTTCCAACATCATACTTTAAAAGCTTTTATTTTGGCTTTCTCAGTCTTCAGGAGTGTCCCAATCTCTGCTCCATATAGATCTACATTCCACACAAAGCCTTTTATAAGTGATTTTCTGCTGTCCCAACTTATTCTATTTGAGGTAAAAAGATTAATTTTTTTATAGTAGGCCTGTTTGGCATGCGCTATTCTACATACTGTATATGTACGACTTTTCTCATCGCTTGTGATTGAATAGGTATGTGAAGTTTAAGTGTTCTTTAAGCGTGTCGTTCATTTCTTCAAACATGTTAGTTATGTCTTTTTCACTTTCTGCAATTACAACAACATCATCTTTTCAATACATATCATTGGTAATGTGTAGTTATAGTCCAACTAGATTTTTTCTACTTCTTCCCAATAATCCTGATTATTTAAAATATTTGTATGTCAATATAATAATTTAATAATATTACAGTTAAAGATATTAATACTCACTTAATTCATTTTATAGTCTGTTGAAATATTTAAAATATTTAAAATATTTCATATTGAATATGTATAATATTGATTTTCCTGATTTACATATTTCATTGTGAAATCTACTATCAGACAACATTTTAAAGACCCAGTTGTGCTTCAAATCATCGGTCTTAATAGACTATCAATATGCCACATTTAAATGTGCAAGTAAAATACAAAAAAAACTCTCAGAAACATCTTAGATGGTTGTAACTATAATTACCATAGTAATATTCCATTTTGTATTTACTAAGTACCAGTGTTTCATTGGTTAGGTAGACATTTGAACAAAAATTGTATATGTATAAATGATTGAACTGAAATCAAAATGTTTTAAGTTAATGAGATATATTGTTTTATTAATTTTAATTTTTGAAACTACCAACTAGTAAAACTTACCAATAGGTACATTGTATAAATTGAATTGCAAATTATCCAATTCACTTGCGATTAACCAATTTAGGTACTTAAATGTTTGATTAAATTACTAAATAAAATACAAAAAGTGGTAAATATTATAATTTAAGTATACATATACAAGAACTAATAATATTATAAATTCACCATTAAAATTTAAACACTTAAAATTGTTAAGTATTAACAAATAAAAAACCTTATTAAATATTAGGTATTAGGTAATACCTACTTATTACCGACTCACGATTCAAATATTGTTGTTATGACTTATCAGTTATCTTATAAAATTATAACCTAAATTATAACCGTTTATTCACTCAACGTATTGTTGGTATGTGATTAACGTTAACCAGGTATAAGGTTTACTTCCATATCATGTAACCATGGAACCAGACTTTAATCGTCCACAGCGAACGAAACAAATAACAATTAACAGCTGATCAAAATTAGTTTTACCCACGATTTCACATAATCGCAAATCAGCCTAATAAACCATATCGTAGTACCCGTATTGTTCTGTCTTCTTATC